CAATATCAAATTGAAAATATATATTAATAATCGAAATAGATTTATCGATTTGAATTTATAAAATATTTATAAGTATTATTTATTTTTGCCAAATGTTTTGTATTATAATTAAAATTTATTTTTCATAGGTCCTTTGGCCAATACTAATTCCTTTGGCCAACGAAATATTTTGCCTTTGGAATATTTAATGGGATTGGAAGCGGTCGTTGCCAATATCTAAGGATTTTTGCCAATATCTAAATCCTAGCTATTTGCGAGAAAAAATAATTGCGATCTATATCCTTATATCTAATAATATCGGATTAGATTACCTAATGAATATTTCAATGTCATATACCGAAAAAATTGGGAAATTTAAGAATTGGTAGCGATCATTGCTAATATCATTCATGGAATCTTATAGAAAGAATCGTTTAAAACGAACCCTAATTATTTGGGAAAAGCAACCTACGGCCTACACAACGATATCTTAATATTTTCATGGCATCGAATTAGGTCGTCTAATCAACACCTCAATATCGTCGCACCGAAATATTCTGGCCTTAGAAATTTCAAAAAATTAAACATAATTGTTAATAGTAATTAATATTATCTTTGAAATTAATTTAATTTAGGACAAAATTCATATATTTATAATATAATACCATAATAAAAGATATCGAGGTCACAACTATAAGCATTAATACAACGAAATGCCCTATTCGAGAAATAATAATGATTATAATAATCGCCAATAATATTAAATATCACCTTTATAATCTTATAAAAATTATAATATTATATAATCCAAATAAATATAATTTAAAATAAATCGACAGGTTTGCGAAAAAAAATAGTAAAATAAATATAAATTCATTTAATAATTAAATATTAATTTCGAAAATCTAATACAAATCTAATATATTCCTAATCCCATTATATATTTTACATAATAATATCAAGACCAATCCCAAACAATCCTTCCATTCCAAATAATCATTCCACCTTATAATATACAGAAAAATATATCATCAAACATATATTTACATCGTAATATATATTTTAATATTAATTTATAAAATAAATATATCATAAGAATACAAATATCATAAAAATATAGATTTATTTATAATTTTATATATCGATTAAATAATGATCTATATATAATTTTATTCGAATTAAAACATATATCAATAAATATTATATATATATTATCTATCTACATTTTATATATAATGATTAATTATATTATGACATATCTATTATATTCAAATATTCTTAGGATTTCAGATGGAGAGCCGGGCAATTCAAGATCCATACAAAAAACGATGCCTTGATTATCAACCTGAAAAACAAGGGCATCTTAATCGAGGACAACCGCTAACAATCTCTCTCCTGATCTCTCCTGGGGTCCTCATGCCAAATTGTAGAAAGCAATTTCCAAGACAGCTCTGACCTCCGAGGAGATTTGCACCATCTTGAAGCGCATTCACACACCGGGACAGCAACAAGAATTCATTTACAGATTTGCAGCCCTGGCAACCTCTGCAACAGAATTCTCTTACCAGAGACACGGCAATCGCGAATCTATAGCGGCTCGATATGTCTCTTCGTTTGGTGGATGCCCACGAATTAGGAATGGAAATATCATATCCAATTGATCCTGATGCGCATAAGGTAAGCTTCACTTCAACATTCACCATTGGCGGTCGCAATCTCTAAGAAATTGAGGATTTGATCTATGACATTTTGATGACTAATTTGACTAATGACGGATCTACCCATTATTTCAATGGGAATTTGCAAGTTCAGCTCTGGACGTGTGGCATGACAAAAAAAATTCAAGTCAGATGCGTGGGATGCATGGAAAATGCATTGTTGCGCTTGTTTATTCGACCGACTGGGGCAGCCATTAATCCACGCTTTGATATTGAGTTGGGCCGTTTATTTAAACTTTGCCTTAGGGTTCATGACATCTCCATTCAGTATGATGCAGATGAATCCTTTGGAGGATTCAGAAAACCTTGATGGAAAAGACGCTGCTGGCCACCCCCTTTCATGGATGGGAGGCTCGAATTTGTAACCCTTCAAACCCTGACCCTGACCAATAGTTGGCATATCCCTATTGAAATTTCAAGGAGAACTTGGGCCGCTACAGTAGATTTTCTAGTAGAATTCTAGGTGAGGTCGATTCAAGGCAAGTCTTGCGTGCTAGAAAATGACGTTGTGGAAAAATCCTTAGAATTCAAGGTGGGGTGGAAACATGACACCATCCAAAATAGCCTTCTTAGAAAATGCTCTATCCAGGTTCAGCTTCCCAAGTATCAGCGAGCAACAAAAATCCAAATCTCATTTTCTAGGGGAACATTGACAGCTGCATACCGAATGTGGACAGACATTCCAGAAGATCCCAGAAGTCATTTTCTAGGACCCTGCTTCAGCATCCAATCGACTCACCAGCACCTATCATCATCGCACTCAAAATTTCTCCCTAGAAAATGCCCCTTGCAAAAAAACATGATGTTCCAACTGTTCGTTTCTAGAAAATGCCAGGGAATCAACTTAGTGTACAAAGGTGGTTCTCTAGAAAAGCACAATTTTCTAGGGGACCTAGGTCCCTGGATTTCCTAGTGGAAATTTCAACGAGGATGTTGGCATTAATACGAACCCTTTCGACATGAATTCTGTGTAGCAAGCCCATATCTATGCTTGGATCTCGAAGCTCAGATCTCGGATCTCGCATCGCAAGTCTCGGCTCTCGCATCTCGAATCTCGGCTCTCGCATCTCGAATCTCGGATCTCGCTTCTCGAATCTCGCATCTCGAATAACATGCAAATATCGGATCATATTGGCTTTTCGGGGCTTTGGCCCAAGCATCAAAGGTGTCGAGGCCATATATGGACTGCTTCACAGCCGTTCTTACCAGAACCCTTCCAGCAGGCAGGAATACAATCGCTCCCGGCCTTCCCCCTCCTAGTGAGCTCTCTGCACATAGCGGTCGGCCCCGGTAGCAGTGGACAGACAAACTTGGTCTCTTGTACAAACACAACTCAATGCAAGTTAGTGCATGACATCACAAGAAGGCTACAACTACAGGCACACTTGGGCATAAACATGTGTGTAAATTGAGTAAACTTAAAATATGAGCAAAATTGGAATCTGACCTGAGGTGAGACCTGAGGTGGAAGCTACTGGCATCACCCAAGCTCAAAACTGGATAACAAACCTGGTTATCAAAAAACAATAATCGGGTGAACCGGATCTTATCGGTTCAACTTTCATTGTGGATTGGGCATTAGATACGAATACCTGAGTGGACCGTGGAATCAATATATGATTGTGTATGGTCACCATGGTCGTAACTGCTTGATAGAATCTGTTGCGGATTCACCTGCGCATGAGCCTCTGCAGTGTTGTGCCATACCTCAAAAAATCACCAGCTACATACTCATGTTTCCATCGACCTGGGAGAAGTCGAACAAGCGTCATGCTTCGTGGGAATGAACCCGTCAATCACTCTGTTAAGCTGCACGCTCAACTCAGCTATCAACAATGTCAACTCAGTCAGGCATCTTACTGAGGCACATCACACGAGCCAATGCGTTGATCAAGAGAGAGCTCAATAAATGACTTCAGTAAGCTGCCAAGGCAAGGTGGGGACAGCAAAAAAAAAAAAATCCAAAAGAATCCAACTATTTCGAAAAACGAACAAACCGCGCCGAAACAAGAATCCCCAAATAATTCGAACAATCCACCTTTTTGAAGTCGCAAATATCAAACTTCAATAATCAAATTATTTCGGGTCCTTTCCGCTGAGCCTAAAACCGAGCACCAAATATAAAGCCGCCAAAAGGAAAAATGTCTTCGCTGAAATAGTGGCGGATTTTTGGGACTTTTGACTTCACCGAACTGCGCGCGCGCGTGTTGGTGGCCTGAGTAATTTTTGTTTTATTTAACTATATATAATCAAAGAATATTATAATTACACCACCGTAGACCCCAAACAGTTAAACTAGAGCTTGCGACGTCCAGAGCTGGGAGACAAATGTAAAGGATTGCAAGGCAGAGACGGACACATCAGTACAGAGCGGGCGGACACATCTTAAGAAAGAATTTAGAAGCCCTAACAGTAAACCTTTTGGGGAACTATTCTTCAAGTGCGAACATGATGCTGGTCATGCTGCTCAATCAGCGGGCAGCTGACCACGTGAGGACAAGAAATAAGAGCATGAGGATTATTTTTGGTGCCTGACGTATGCCCTCCGCCCCAACTGAACAGAGAGATCGCTGCCACGCCGCCGACATCCAATCCGGTCATTCATCCAACGCTTGCCCGAAAACGAAAACAAAGCTGAGAGAGTTACACAGTGCGGCAGCAATGCAATCCCGGAGACAGTCACGCACCCCTTTCAAAGGAGCAAGAACCTTTCACACGCGAACCTGTTCCAGCGGACAGGGCAGAAAACAGCAGTGCAGGCACCAAACCTGAAAGACAAAAAGAAAGAAGTCACATGGGAGATAAATGAATAGAAATGCTACAT